CGTACGTCACTCGTCCAAAATGTTTTACCGGACTCGTATGGTAATCCCGTACTTGACTTCGTCTCGCACAGGAACGACCACACTTGTCCGGCAAACACTTATTTTCAGGACTAGTAACGTAATATACTATTACCTACGACCGTTTATTAAAGTAGCCGTTTCAGTACAGTTATTAGAATTGAAAAGTATCTCATAACAGCATTGTTTACTTTCATAACAGCATAGTTTTACTCATAACAACATGGGTAATGGACCAATGAGGTTCAAGGATTGAGAGAGGAGAAGTAAAATTGTAATGATTCGAAATTCAAGTTATCAGCTGTTCAGGCCAATTAAATTGTTGATTGGTGCAATTGATCAGCTGATCAGTTGACAATTTTATTGTTGATCCGACTTGTTCCTGTTGATACTCGCGTATTCTTAACCTAAGTTGGTGGAAGTTAAAGGAAGATAGATTAAACTGATTTAAAAATGTCAGTTAGTGAAAGTGAAGTTGACGAGATGGAAATGAGAGCACAAACTGCTTGTGCAAATCATTTGCCACCAAAATCGAAACAAAGGTATGAAATTACATACCAGCAATTCATTAAATGGACGAAACAAAATAAGGTTAAATTGATAAATGAAAATGTGCTTCTGGTTTATTTTGAAAACCTCTTAACCACTTTTTCACCCAACTCGTTGTGGACCACATATTCGATGCTGAAATCTAACTGTAAATTGACTGTTTCACTATATTATTTAGTTGCACTAATAAGGTTTATATTACCTGGCTACTGTCTCCGATCCTCTGTATAGTTTTAAGAAACTACAGCTGTTTCATGCCTTACATTTGCACATCATCAGGTTTGGTGAACGCTTACCAATATCCCTTCTTTTCTATAAAATATCCCTCGGAGATGAGATCGTTATCGTTTTACGAAAAACATGTAGACATTTACACTCACGAAAACACGCACGAAACATTTAAACACTAATAATTGAGAAACTACTGCGAAACGTGATGCGGCGCCGGTGATGGATAAGTCGCGACTGTCACGTGTCGGCAGCGTTGACCCCTACCCCTGTTCTATCCTTATCTTTTCTTTCTTTGGTTTGACAATCAGATATCAGAATGGCCGTGTTGTAAATTATGTTAGACTCAAAGGACTGCTTTTCGTTCAAAATATGATGTGGTTGTTCTTATGATGCCTTATATATTTCGTATTCTTCTATTGTGTCCATATGGCGTCCTTTATTGCAAAAATGTATAATATCTAGATTATTATGAATGTCTGTATAGTTATAGTTCGTGGCTGTTAGGTGGTTGGAAAAAGCTGATTTAGAGTTCTTTTTTGGTAGGTGTTCTTTAAATCGGGTTGTGAAAGATCTGGCAGTTTGTCCTATGTAAAAGCTGGGACAGTTGTCACATTTTAATCTATGGATTCCGGTTTTGTTGTTGTTATCTGTGTGAAACTTGCTCTTGGCTCTGACCAATGACGACAGCTTGTTTGTAGTCTTGAACGATATTGCTGTATCATTTTTTTCCAGTTCTTTTCGTAAAGTATCATTTAGAATTATACCGAATTCAGCGCTAACGTATTTTTTATTATTTTCATTGGAGGTTACTTCAGTTCGGTTACGGTGTTTTCTGATCAATTTGTCTATGAGGTTGCTACTGTATCCGTTTGACACTGCAATATGCTTTAGTATCTTAACTTCGTTATTGTAGTTGGTTGGGCTGAGTGGTATGGTAAGTAGACGATGGACAAAACTATTATAGGCGGATAATTTGTGGCTATAGGGGTGGTGTGATGATGAATGGATAGTTTGGTCAGTTGTAGTCGGCTTCCTGTAGATATTGAATTCTAAGCTACTGTCTTTTCTTGTTATAGTGAGATCCAGGAAATTAATAGATTTAGATACTTCCGTTTCAAGAGTAAATTTCATGTTTTTATGTACACTGTTGAGATATGTTTTGAGTACGTTGATTTGTCTATTGTTACCGTTGAACAATACAAGCGTGTCGTCCACGTATCGTCTGTAAAAAACTATTTTGCTGCGTTGGCGGTTCGAGTCTGATCAAAAGTGTTGATTTTCTAAGTTGTTCAGAAATAATTCTGAGAGAATACTTGATAACGGCGACCCCATTGTTAACCCTTCATTTTGTTTATAATATTCGTCCTCAAATGTGAAGTTGCTCTGTTTTAGGACACAGCGCACTAAATTTATCAGTTCATTCTTTGCTTCTGTAGCTAAGGTAGAGTGCTTGTCTAAGTTTTTTCTGAGTAAAGTTATTGTTTCATTTATAGGAACGTTCGTGAACAAACTAACAATATCAAAAGATGCAAGTATATATGAGTCTTTCATTTCTATGTTAGGTATCTGGTTTACTAAGTCTACTGTGTTTTTTATGCTATGGCTATTTTCTAAAATAATCTCTCTTCTGATAATACTGTCTAACTTTTTGGCGATTTTATAGGTAGGTGAGGGGGTGAAATTTACCAATGGTCTTATAGGTATGTTGTCCTTGTGTATTTTGGGTAAACCTCTAAGGACTGGGGCACTAGGGTTAGTGACTTTCAGGTGCCTGATTTCTTCAACAGTTAAAAGGTTCTTACATGATGATATTAATTTATTTATCTCTTTCGAGAAAACAGGTGTGGGGTCCTTGGTTAAAGTAACAATAGAGTTAGTTTCAATAAAGTCTCTTACTTTGTTTACATATTCTGACTTGTTGAGGATGACGGTACAGTTCCCCTTATCTGCTTTCGTGATAACGGCTTTGTTTTGTTGTAACTTGCATCGGATGCTAGTGGCTATTGACTTCAACGACTTATATTTCGAAATGTATTTAATTCTAGGGGTGGGATTTCTTAATGTTTTCTGTATTTTGTTCGATACCATTGCTCTGGTGGTATCTCTTGCAAGGCTGGGTTTCAGGCATTTAACGGCTGTCTCAGCATTCAGTAATTCGGACACAAGACTATTTTTTCTATCATTAGGGAAATTGAAATTTAGTCCTTTATTTAGTAACAAAATCTCCTGCTCTGTAAATGCTATGTTAGTTGTATTTATCAGTCGGGGATGAAATTTGTGGTTGTGAACTATTTCTTCTATTTTATTTTGGGATTTCAGTAAGGCATCAAACTTTTTGGTTTGGGTTTGTTTTTTATTTTGAACTTTCTTTTGAACCATTGTGTTTAATTGAGAAAAAACATTGTTCTGTTGTGAAGGGTGAAGGCAACTCATAAGTTCGAGATGTTTTCTTAACAGTAGCTTATTTAACATGTTCTTTTTTGCATATAATGTTTTTATTTCATTTTTAATCCAAGATTTCTCAGCAGTTTGTTTGGCCTTTCTGGCTGCTATTGGACGGTTAGAAATTTTTATGGATACATATTTAGGTACAATACCGAATTCTAGACATTTTTTATTGAAATTTATGTTCTCTATGGTGTTGAACAGTTTAAGCTTGGCGTTCTTGTATGCGTAGGCCAGTTTAACTTGACAAGTTTCCAATTTCATGATGGTTGGCCACTGGATCGTTAAAATTAGCACTAATAAGGTTTATATTACCTGGCTACATGTTTTTCGTAAAACCATAACGTTCTCATCTCCGAGGGATATTTTATAGAAAAGCTGGCGTTCACCAAACCTGATGATGTGCCAATGTAAGGCATGAAACAGCTGTAGTTTCTTAAAACTATACCGAGGATCGGAGACAGTAGCCAGGTAAGGTTTATATTACCTTACCTGCTATATTATTATTAGTGCTAATTTTAACGATCCAGTGGCCAACCATCATGAAATTGGAAACTTATTTAGTTGCCCAAATAAATATGCAATATTTCCTAATTGTACCTGATATTTATGGTAAGAATGTTGCTAGCAGAACCTATTCCCTGAAAAAAGTAACATATTACTTAACGAAGTTTTACAAACACATAATTACATGAAATCAGCTGATTATACAATAAGTCGTTGCCTCACTTTCAGTGGCAATGACAATAAACGAAAACATAACCTCTCTAAACAGTTATGAGAAGTGATTGTTAGTAATAAAAAACCAGATTGTTAGTAATTAAAAAACGGTCGTAGGTAAAGTAGTGTACGCAACTCGCGTTAATAGGCTTTACGACACTCGTAGAAGTTTTTAAGGCACGAGCCTTCGTAAAGACTAACTTAACACAATCGTTGCGTAAACTAATATATTTAATTAGGTTATTTAATTTATTCCAACTTTGTTCCTTTTGATCAGTTTCATGGTGCATGGTGCATTATTATGGAGGAAATATGCAAAGGACATCTAAACTCTTTTAAAAGCAAGGGGGGCGGTAATTTATCTGGCGTTAATTGCGTAAGTTACTGGAATATGAATTTTAAAATTCCTCCGTAATTTAGGTTTTTATATTCATCATGCTGGTTATCAGCCTTACTGTAATTGGTATAATAATCATTTTCATTGGCAAATTTTATCCCAGGTTCAGATATTATATTGTACTTATTTATTTGCATTCACTCTCACTGTAATATTGTGAATTAAATTATGGCCTTCCGTCGACAAGGCCACATTAAGACGACAGACATAGGAGTTAGGAGCAGCTGCAGCAGAAGGCACCAAGGCAATAGTTTACTTCTACCATGAGACAGCTGGTGAGCCAGAGCCGATACTAAAAAGTCGATGTCTGTCATCCGGTAGAAGACAAGCTCGATATTTAACCGAATGCCTACCATATCGTTGTGAATCCAGCGCTATCCGCTTGATATGAGCCCCATACAGTTCATGGAAATCCATAATTGATTAAAAGTAGGCAAAATATGTACTGTCATTCACATTTCAGATCATGGTAGAAATGTTGTGGGTTGAGATCCCAGTGCTATCCCACTATCAATGCTCTTAATAAATCTACCTCTTTCTTAGCTTGATACATGTTAAACTTGGAAGTTTGAAGCCAATGTGGAGCAAATGTGAGGGTTGTAAAGTGAAAAAAATTAGCCTTTGTTTTTTTTCTTTCCAGACTACCTTCTCACTAGCTGTTGCCGAGACTGCAGCTGATTTTGAGCATCGGGACTTGCACATTGGCAATGTGTTGGTGCAGCCAACATCGGAAAAATATGTCTCTTATGTGCTGAATGGGCAAAGATTCGAGTGTCCCACTTTTGAAACTATGGTACATTACTGAAGAGTCTGTTTAGATGATACTAGCTGTGTGCCCGTTTTACGCACGGGGATCTTATAGTAGTCAGTTGAATCTGACAAAAGTCACACAATGATAGTTTTTGGGCATTTTTAATTTTATTTATTAAGTAGGCCATGTATTCTATGGAAAAGTACCGGTATCAAGGATCGTCGTCGAAAAGGTTGTTATGAATAAATAGGTAGGCGTACGTACCCAAGAGATGGGCTATGGGCCTATTGGCTGTATGGTCCAGTGATTGCATCACACGGTGAGTAGAAACAGAAAGTGACACATTGGAAAAGCGAGTTTAGCATCATCCGTAGACCTCTGTTACAATCACCCACTGCAGTTGTGATTTTTTTTACTTAACACTACACAATCGCTATTGAAGTGCGGTCAATGAGTGGAAACCTTGTTTGTAAGCTATTGGCGACGATCACTATACAACACTGATTCAAGGTCTTTTTTCTGATTATCAAAACTCAAGAACAATTTTATACACAAAGAATTTCTGTTTCCTGACCTGGATGATGCCTAGTTATTTAATTTCATTTACGGTTACACTACAATATTACACTTGCGATTAATTAAATCCGTTATGTAAGAAAAACTTTTTAATTTCACTTGGTTAAGATTTGCTTTCCAACGTGATCGGAAATGGTTACGGTATTTGTAAACAAAATTTGTAAACATATCAGGGACAGCTAGAAAAAAATATTCTTGATCCGAACAGCTGTTTGTTATTTCATAGATGATTATGTGATAAAAATTTAACGAAAATTAGAAAAAATCACACAAAACTGCATTTTTGAACGTCCGTAATTTTGTTTACAAAGTAGTGAGGCCATATTTTAATGGCTAAAGACACTTTCGCCAATCCAGTGTATACATTAAAATGACTTGGATCTTGATAGATACTCTCGTTTTCATGGAGAAGATTGCGTAAAATGCCATCTTGAGTGTTACAGACAGACAGACAGACAGAAATAGAGATAAGACTTGTTTCTGCTTCTTTAAATAAAACGTAAAAATAGCCTAAAAATATATAATTCTGAGCAATGTACAGACAAAACTCTAATTTTATTTATATAGATTAAACTAACACATACACTAAGTACTGACTTAAGTCTGACAGAGTAAAAAATTTAGAAAACTGTTTGATGTTAAAGTCTTTGCAAAAATAGCCCTGATCTTCTCATGATTTATTTCATTACTTTTTTACAGGAATCCCAAGTACGGTATCGGTATCAAAATTATTTATACAGTAGATAATTTTACACGACTAGCTATACACTGAATACTTGGTAAACACTTGAATAGCAATCATAAGGTGACGCTAATGGCTCAGTTACACCATAGACAAATAGAATGAATATAGACTGTCAAAGAAAGGTTCCGACGCCCACCGCTAGGAGTTCTGTGTAGTTACGGCGCACACCGTGCAGGCGAGGAGCGCAGGAGCCGTATGCGACCAGCAGACGCTGCAGCAGTGTGCGCCGTAACTGCACGGCAAACCTAGCGGTGGACGCCAGAACTTATGCTAACCGCAGCACAGCTGACGGTCTATATTTGTCTATTGGTCTACGGTTACACAGAACAATTTATAAGCTAACAGCTTTGTTGTACACAGATCCCAAAAAGTCCAGTGTACTCGCAGCTCTTGGATAGTTGCTATTAAAGCTCTGGATAAAGTTGACTCTGCCGGAAACTTAACACATCACTCACTAGCTTTTGAGCGCTCTAGATTTTAACCATCCCAAGTGTACCCAGAGTTATTTCTGACAAGCAACAAGTAGGATTTGATTAGTCTTGATGATGACTAATCCCCACCCGCTGAATATGAGGAATTGGTTATAAGTCGGAGCTGCATGTCTAATACAGCAACAATCCTGTTTTTTATGTTTTTTTTCACTCTGGCTAATAGCTTGTAGTATTTTATTTCACTCACCACCTTTGTTTGAAAATCAGTTCTACCAACTCCAATCATAGTATGACTGTTACAGGTGACAATCATCGACTACACACTATCCAGGATCTCATTTAGAGAAGACGTTCTGTACTTGGACCTGGAGCAAGACCCGGAACTGTTCACTGCTACAGGCGATTATCAGTTTGAAATCTACCGAGAGATGAGGGCTGATCTCAAACAGAACTGGAGGTCTCATAAGCCGAAAACAAACATCAGGTAAAAGCTTGACTTTAGGTACATACCATCTATATGGATCAGCTGATGCCAGTTTTGTATTCAGCCTATTTTAAGCTGTTCATTCAGCTTGGCTTGGTTAAAAAGTTGGTGCTTCTTAAAGAAATTGATAATTTACAAACTACATCAGTGTATTTTATTAATTCAAATATGTTCATTTTATTCTAAATCTGGCTACAACTTAATCATTGGACTAGAAAACCTAGTTTCCTTCTAGAAGTTGTCATTAGCCATAGAATGAATCTCGGCTGCTGTTCAAAAATTGACACCACCAGAACATGGGACATCTACCCTGACAAATTGGTGAGTCGGTAAAGCCACGGACTTCAAGCCCAAGGCAGCGATGTTGTGGGTTCGGATCCTGGTCACTGCCACAACTTTTATCAATACAGTTCATCCTTGTACAATACCGGTCCACTCCTTGCTTTGCTGGATACATTCCACGCACAGGCTTCTGTGGATATGCAATAAAAGGAGGCCACAAACCTCTTTTGAAAAAACCCGTACTTTTAAAGGGACCAGTGACACATTCTTGAATGTGTTTACACTGAGGCCAAGCTTTTCTAGATAAGATAATCAAATGAAGGTAGGAACATTTACTTAACCTTATGTACCCCTCGTTGGCGATTCTATTTCTAGACAATGATATTGAATTTGTCTTCAAACTGCGTTTGCTGAAGTTCTGATTCCTACAATAAAAGCAAAAGCTAATTCAATGTTTGACATGTTTTAGGTGGTTACATTATCTCATAGACAAATTTACAAGCAGAATCAAATACAAACAGAAGAAAAACACTAAAGTCTTCAGAGATTGTATGGACAAGATGTTGAGACTGAGAGAAATGGTACTCGACTTTGAGAGCGCAACTGACTTGGCCTTTCATCTAATCTACTTCCATTGCCAAACATCGTCGCTGATCAGGACTGAATAGTCTGCCAACTGTTCGGTAACTGGCATTTTCACTCGATCTCGTTTATTTGCGTTTTAGCAACTAAAAAAAATCATTTTCACAAAAGACTTTTAAAAAATCCTTAAATAATGATTACTGTTACAAATTCTGTTTCAAATCAAGATGTCTTTATTGTTGTAATTTTTTAATCCTTTTTATATTTCATGAATCTTTATTTTTGTATTAATATTGTTGAAACTTCTATTAGAGTATAATTATTTGTACATACTTATTTATTCAGTTTGTTATTTGTATTAAACTATGCTTGTTTTATAATTGATTTTTGAGTTTTTCATTGTTCACTACATAAACTGAACCCTGAAATACTAGTCATGTGTAAAGTTTTTTGTATTATATTCTTCAATAAAATACCAATTGCTTGCTGTCAAATTCAGTAAAGATTGCTGCTATGAAACTCAGAACTGGAGACTTTGTTTTCTAAAATACAAAGCCATTTAGTTTAAACACCGAGAAGTAAAGTACAGAAGAAAACACTTGGACGACTGAGCGCTTTCAGCTCTAGTATGTTGTGTTGGAAATGTACTTGTGACGAGCAAGGAAGAGCAGGAATGGCGAGCACTTTGTGGAAATTCCTATCGCACAAGGGTCTTCCTACACTATGAGCGTTGCAGTACTTGAGGGGGTCGATGTTGAACTCTCCTTAGCCATCAGTACTGATGCTAATGGCAAGGCCATGACTCAGTGTTTGTCTCTTGATGCAAATAACTTATATGGCAAGGCCATGACTCAGGTTTTGTCTTTTGATGCAAATAACTTATATGGCAAGGCCATGACTCAGTGTTTGTCTCATGATGCAAATAACTTTTATGGCAAGGCCATGTCTCAGTGATTGTTTTAGGATGCAAATAACTTATATGGCAAGGCCATGTCTCAGGGTTCGTCTCTTGGTGCAAATAACTTATGTGGCAAGGCCATGAGTCAGTGTTTGTCTCTTGGTGCAAATAACTTATATGGTAAGGCCATGACTAAGGTTTTGTCTTTTGATGCAAATAACTTATATGGCCCAAGGCCATGACTCAGTGTTTGCCTCTTGATGCAAATAACATATATGGCAAGGTGATGTCTCAGGGTTCGTCTCTTGATGCAAATAACTTATGTGGCAAGGCCATGACTCAGTGTTTGTCTCTTGATGCAAATAACTTATATGGCAAGGCCATGACTAAGGTTTTGTCTTTTGATGCAAATAACTTATATGGCAAGGCCATGACTCAGTGTTTGTCTCTTGATGCAAATAACTTATATGGCAAGGCCATGTCTCAGGGTTCGTCTCTTGATGCAAATAACTTATGTGGCAAGGCCATGACTCAGTGTTTGTCTCTTGATGCAAATAACTTATATGGCAAGGCCATGACTAAGGTTTTGTCTTTTGATGCAAATAACTTATATGGCAAGGCCATGACTCAGTGTTTGTCTCTTGATGCAAATAACATATATGGCAAGGTGATGTCTCAGTGTTTGTCTCTTGATGTAAATAACATATATGGCAATGTCATGTATCTTTCCGAACCGAATCCGACCCGATTTTCCTGATATCTGCACACCTCTAGTTTTTAGTTTTGTACCTGGATGGTAAGCTAACGGCCTATAATCTAGTCTCGAAAATATCCCGTTAGTATTTAAATCCCGTCCGATGCTTCGTGATAAAAAAATCTCAAAGTTTTGGGTCTTGTCCATCACTATAAAATACCCTGTGTCTGTGTACAAGAAGATTATCTCTGTATATACAGGGCGAATAAAAAGTCAAGACTCCCCCATCTAATATTTTTCTAAGTTAGAACACAGTTTAGACTTCTTGTACACAGTCACAGGGTATTTTACTTGTAGAACTTCACATACCCGGCTATCAGTACTGTGGACCTGGAACGAATTTAAGGAAGAGATTAACAAGAGGTGATCCAGGCATACATAAATTGGATGCTGCATGCAAAAACCACGATATACAGTAGCATACTCAAGATTGAACTATATAGTAAAATATACACAGATACCCGAGTGTTTTCCTGTGTGCAAGTCTCGCTCAAAACCAAACCCAAAAGGGAAACGGTCACGTGCCTGGTACACTCCTGATCTTGACAGGCTCAGGCAGCAGGTAAGACATGCCTATGATCTGACCTGTGTAAGTAGTGACAATCTTTGTAAGTTAGAGTATAAGACCCTAGTTAAGAACTACAAACGGGCAGTAAAGGAGGCCAAGCTCAATTATAATGCCCTATTCATTGAAAACTCCAGCAACAAATGTAAATCAGCCTGGGCAATTGTAAAAGAAAATTCCCAATCTCTCGGAAGCGGTAATAAGCTTCCATTTCATCCAAATAAACTAAATAGTTTTTTTATTAACTCTGTTAACAGTATTAGAAACAGTATTAAGAAACCTGCAAATACTTATGATCATTTCTTACAAAAAGTTCCTTTCAACAATTCAGAGTTTCACTTTTCTTTGGTCACTTGTAGTGAGGTTATGTCAGTCATAACTAAAATGAAAAATACCAAATCCAAAGATATCTATGATATCTCCAACTGGTTCATTAAAGAAATTGTTGATGTAATAATTTCACCATTGACTTACTGTGTAAACGCCTGTCTACAGGGGGGATTCTTTCCTGATTGTCTCAAAATTTCCAAAATTTGTCCTATTTTCAAAAAAGGGGATAAAAACTGCCCAGGAAACTATCGGCCTATTAGTCTAGTACCTGTTCTGTCCAAGGTTCTAGAACATATTATTCACAATCAGATTAACAGCTTTTTTGAAAATAATTCTCTCTTTAACAAACAACAATTTGGCTTTAGAGTTGGACAGTCCACTGTGGATGCAATTGATGCCATGGTTCAGGACATTCACAGGGCTTTTGAAAATAAAGATTTTGCCTGGGCCACCTTCATTGATCTTAGCAAGGCCTTTGATTGTGTTGACCATGAGATCTTGCTGCATAAGTTGGAGTTTTATGGAATCAGAAACAGTGCTCTAAATCTTTTGTGGTCTTATTTAGCAAATCGTAGACAGGCGGTATACGCTGATGGTGAATGGTCCTCCATCGCCCTCAGCAACTGTGGGGTACCTCAAGGCTCTGTCTTGGGCCCCCTTCTGTTTTTAATTGCTATAAATGATCTGCCTATGAATCTTAGTTGCAATTCCTATCTCTATGCGGATGATACTACCTTGCTATCTTGTCACAGTGACCTTTTGCATCTTAAGTCAACTGTCAGAAACACAGTCAATACTGCTGCTGAGTGGTTTTCAGCTAATAGTTTTCTTTTGAATAAAGACAAAACACAATCAGTCATATTTTGCCTTAGACCTCTACATGATATAGGCCCACTTGAAGCTGAACTGTCCAATGTGGTAAAGTTTCTAGGTGTCCATATTGACAAACAACTGACTTGGTCTGATCATATAACGCAACTCTGTACTAGGTTAAGTAGAATGATTTGCCTTTTTCGTAAGCTTAATGATTTAGTTCCTATTAGTTATTTAAGATCAGTTTACTTTGCTTTATTTCAGTCTGCCTTGAACTATGGTATCATTTTTTGGGGTAATAGTTCTCATGTCTCCGATGTCTTAATATTACAAAAAAAGGTCCTGCGCATAATGGCTAGGGTTGATCCTGAGGAACATTGTCGCCCCATTTTTATTGAATTTAATATTTTAACTGTTATTAATTTATATATATTTAATATCATGTTAACTAGTTTTAAGGAAATGGACTCACATGCCATAAGGAGTGATTTTCATGATTTTCAAACTAGAAACAGACATCAATTTGATATACCCCATGTTAGACTGAGCAAAACAAAGAAAAGTCATAAAATTCTGGGCCTAAAATGTCTAAATAAATTGCCCAACAAATTGCTATCACTTCCTTACAAAGTTTTTAAAGCTAAAATTCATATGTGGCTAGTTAAGAATCCGTTCTACAAACTTAACGATTTTTTAGAATTTCCTAAACCATTAAATATTGAGTAATGATTGTACTTTTTTTTTCTCTTATAGTTATCCTCATCTGCATGTATTTTATATTATCTTTGTATATTTTGATTTGACCTTGTACTCTACATCTATTGTACTCTTCCTTGACAAATGTTTCCCAACATAATACCTTCATTGACCATTCCACATGCATTTGTAATGTCTATTGGAAAAATAAAGCTTTGAAGCTTTGACCCTTTTGGTGGTGGTGCAAACTTAGTGCATTTTATGATTTTGAAAATTGTTAGTGTCCCCAAAAAATGAGGGATTATGGGCTCAACTGGAGATTACTCAAGATATATTAACCTTTAAACATTACCAATTTAATTTTAAACATTATGATTTAAATTGGCGTTCTGTTAATTAGGTTTTTTTACCCGCCCTTATGACAGTGTGTATCTGGATCCGGATCCGGTATCGACATTTTCTTGGATCCGCCCATCACTAGTTTAAATTAATCCTTTTGGATGCTCTTATCATAGTGAGTTTGTCCTGGTATTTATGGTAAGAATGTTGCTAGCAGAACCTATTCCCTGAAAAAAGTAACATATTACTTAACGAAGTTTTACAAACACATAATTACATGAAATTAGCTGATTATACAATAAGTCATTGCCTCACTTTCAGTGGCAATGACAATAAACGAAAACATAACCTCTCTAAAAAGTTATGAGAAGTGATTGTTAGTAATAAAAAACCAGATTGTTAGTAATTAAAAAACGGTCGTAGGTAAAGTAGTGTACGCAACTCGCGTTAATAGTCTTTACGACACTCCTAGAAGTTTTTAAGGCACGAGCCTTCGTAAAGACTAACTTAACACAATCGTTGCGTAAACTAATATATTTAATTAGGTTATTTAATTTATTCCAACTTTGTTCCTTTTGATCAGTTTCATGGTGCATGGTGCATTATTATGGAGGAAATATGCAAAGGACATCTAAACTCTTTTAAAAGCAAGGGGGGCGGTAATTTATCTGGCGTTAATTGCGTAAGTTACTGGAATATGAATTTTAAAATTCCTCCGTAATTTAAGTTTTTATATATGCTGCAGCAGAAGGCACCAAGGCAATATAGTTTACTTCCACCATGAGACAGCTAGTGAGCCAGTGCCGATACTAAAAAGTCAATGTCTGTCATCCGGTAGAAGACAAGCTCGATATTTAACCGAATGCCTACCATATTGTTGTGAATCCAGCGCTATCCGCGTGATATGAGCCCCATACAGTTCATGGAAATCCATAATTGATTAAAAGTAGGCAAAATATGTACTGTCATTCACATTTCAGATCATGGCAGAAATGTTGTGGGTTGAGATCCCAGTGCTATCACACTATCAATGCTCTTAATAAATCTACCTTTTTCTTAGCTTGATACATGTTAAACTTGGAAGTTTGAAGCCAATGTGGAGCAAATGTGAGGGTTGTAAAGTGAAAAAAATTAGCCTTTGTTTTTTTTTCTTTCCAGACTACCTTCTCACTAGCTGTTGCCGAGACTGCAGCTGATTTTGAGCATCGGGACTTGCACATTGGCAATGTGTTGGTGCAGCCAACATCGGAAAAATATGTCTCTTATGTGCTGAATGGGCAAAGATTCGAGTGTGAATCCTTTTGGATGCTCTTATCATAGTGAGTTTGTCCTGGTCAAAGAAACAACAAAATTCACAAATAAGCAGCTTTATTTTGGGTGGGTGCAATAACATTTGTATGTATACAAACATGTGGATCGACTTCCAAGGATTAACATTGATTCTGGTTACGTACAATGCACCCAAAGGCAATGGTACCGGATACTATAAATGTGCACAACAAAAGTGAGGTCACAATAGCTAAAAACCTAATTGGTAACAACGTTGTTTCCAACCATGCATTCATTACCGTAACTTGGTTACACTAAATTATTGCAATTTATTACAAATGTTTCAAACACTTTTACAGCCTAATTATTCAAGCATAGGCGGCAGTAATTTTTTCTACTTGCTTCTGTATTGATTGAGGATTGAAATTTGTGTTATATGAATTATGAAATGTAAATAGTTATTTGTGCAACTAGTGAGAAAAGTGAGCAATTGACTCACTCGAGAGAAATCCTTACTCACGAGCGGTAGGCGAGTGAGGCAATTGTACTTTGAACTCGAGTTGCACATTAAACTTTTCCTACAGTTACCATAAAACAAATAAATTGGTGAAGAAACATAACCTATTTTTACACAGAAGTGAACTTTTATTAAAATTGGTGAAGAAACAACCTACTTTTACACAGAAGTGAACTTTTAATATAACATTTAATGTGAAGTGACAAATACAACAGTACAACAGCTGACCAGCTGATTTACAGCCAGTGCTGCCAACGTATTTCGCGCGCATACGACGTTGCCTGCATGTTACGCGCTCACTATTTCGTGCCTTCACGTTGCAAATCTGGAGTGAGACAAAGTAATTAGAGTGAGACAATGTTAACATTGTCTCACTGATGAGCGAATTGGCCACTTTGCTTTCTCAAATCAGTGAGAGAACATGTACATTGTTAGGTAACTGTAGGAAAACAACTATTTTGCTTAAAGTTAAAACTATGATCACTTATTTATTATTTGTATATTTTTTATAAATTAAAGAAATCTATTTTCAGTTTTAAAATTTGTTTGGTTAATTTTTTTTGCATGGAAACTAAAAAAAAATTGTATAATATATATATGTATTAGTTTAAAAATATCTACTCCTATTTTTATTTTCATGCATGTATAACAAATGGATTTACTTAAACATTGTTTAAATAGTAAATGTAGCTTTATTAAATCTGGTCGGATTCAAAATGTCTAAATTCAGTTTGAATACGATACAAACAAATAAAAAAAAGTTAAAAGTAGTTATTTCAATCATAAAAACACCAATAAAATTAAAACTTAATCAATTTTGAAATTCACTTTTGATGTCTAAGATTAATGAAATAAAATAAAAGGAAATATTATAATGGAAATGAAGTCCTTTAAGCAGTCACTACACTACATAACATATTAACAAAAGCAACTATTATTACCGCATTTATAATTTAATTTTAAAATTGTATATAGCTGGATATGTAATAAAAAATGAGTTTATTTAGACTGATTTATGGCCTATTCATCCATACTACTTACAGTAATTAAATGTAAATTAAAATTAGTAGTAGCAAAATTATATTTCTTATTTCATGGGAACCAGCACACCACAGGGTTAGGAACATTGGTTAACCAATCAGTTATAAGCTAAATCTGCGCAAACAATTATGATAAAGAACAATCTCACTTAAAACTATTGCACTTTGTGTTGACAAAAACAACATCTATAAGAGTAGTGGTTGTCGTATTTAGTTTATTTTACAAGTAAAACCAATTTGAAAATATTTTCACTGGAGTTGAATATTTTTCTTTCTATAATACGGTACTGTATTAACAAAACAATAGACATCAACTAGTAAGGCATACGGGTCACACAGCCAAATTGTAGAAAGCATTGCACTTCAACAAGTTAGTAACATATAATATAAATTCTAAAATATTTTAAGATTCAGTACTTAATTTCACAACAGGTTTTTTTAACTAACTAGCACATGGTATTTTTGGGAATGCACTATCTTGGAATAAAATTACAGTAGAACTCAATGATCCAAATCAATTGGGACCGTGCATTGAGATAGTAATAGTTAGGATGGTTGGATTTTTACAGATATTGGGAGGTAGTTTTCCATGTCTGATGAGATTTCATGATCGGGGAGGACATTTTTTTTCTGCAAGAAACGTTGATGATGATGTCTACTAGATCGCAGGAGATATTAAAGATTTGGGGAGACCATGATCACGGGAGACGATGATTATGTCCACAAATTCGCCAAAGATGTTCAGGATTTTGCGGCCACCATGGCTTCTGCCTTCTTTATTAACGATACTTATTACGGCAGTCACAGGTTTTATAACATTCTTTCTGTAAGGGATTGTTGTTCGGATTGCTGGAGTTCTACTGTATGAACACATTGATGCTGAGTGGCTGAGCATTTGGACAATTTCACACAGAATATTCCTAGATACAAATCCACTCAGTGTCTAAGCTCACACAAACATTTACAGAGATAATAGATATATTTTTATTTATCTACTAAAACTTTATTGCCATTGTGGAACGCTCACACAATAACGTTTACCACACAAAGCGTGCTAAAAACACGCAATACAAACTATAAAATACAACCTTTAATATTAGTGTATACTAGTACAATAATAATCAGATGAAGACAGAATCATATTTTTGTTTAGTTGTTAGAATCATTTAAATCAATCATATATTTAAGCACAATTTTGTAAAAGAATAAAATATGTGATTTTCACTTATAAAATGCCAATTAACTTGTAATAACATATTTCCTAAAACCATATATTTATAAAAAAATTAAGATAGTTTTATAATTTTTCTAAAAGTTAGCATCTTACAAAACAAATCAAACCTTAATAATTACAACCCTTGCAACTGAGAATATTTTAATTTGAACATGTGTATTATAGCTCCACTATATGTTCAATACCTTTATACCTTTCAATATTCTTCATTTTTACATAGTAGAACTTCAAATTTAATTTTCTGTAGCCATTCGTGTATAACAATCACCAAATTAATCCATTCACTTATTATGATAGAGTAAAAAATATCTTTTTAAGCAATTTAACGCCTTAAATTTAAAATTTGGTTTTTATTTATTATGAATCAATAACTACAGAATTCGACCTGTTAGAAAGTCTACTGCTGAGAAAAAGATTGAAACAAAATACTAAAAAACTGGCTAAGCATTAATACAAGTAAACTTAAGCAATGAAAAGAATATAAAATATTATCTACCTAATGTAAACATTGTCATTGTACAAATTGTCTGATCTATTTAATTAAGTACTTGCCAAATAATATTAGGAGATCATGTAATACTAGAACGATATAAGCATCAAATTTCAACCATTAGCAGCATTCTTGGTACAGTCCAGGAATATGTTGACGCATCAATCCATCACATTAGCCAAGACCGTGATCATCAAAGAATCCTTGAGGTGTTTCCTCCTGCAACAAAATACTATTGTTTATTTGTTGACACGTAACAATTTTTCAGACTACCTAACATGCTGTATGTGAATCAAATTTCAGCAAACTTATAAATCATGAACATGTAAGTACAGTAAACAAACCTAGAATAATTTACAAGTTTTAAAACAATTACATGAATGTAATTGGAATATTTTTCACAGATAAATTTGATTTAGCTTCATGGTATTTCTTATTTAAGGCAATAACTGTATCTATCAAATACTTTACTACCTTTTGCGTTTGACAAGAAATATCATTAAAAACATTGCAATTAACAAGAAATATTTTAGCTACAAATCTATAAACTTCTGATCCCAATTTTTTTTTCCTAAGCTAAAAAAACATTAAATACCCTGACTATCTACACATTTCCCTTAAAATGTAAAAGAAAGATTTCTACGTTTTAATTTGGTTTATCATTTATTTTTTTGCAAGGCTTAATTTGTAAGTATTATTTTTGAGTCAACACCCTCTTATTAATTCAAATATTACTTCCCACCCATATGTGTAAAATTAAGTAAATTTGTAAACCATAAGCTAATACACGCTGTCTTCTGAGTACAGTAGAACTGTGTTTAGCTGTGTTTCAATGTTGACGTTTTTGAAAAGATTCTGTTCTCTTTCATCTATAACCAAATTGAATAGTAAAGGCACTACACAAACTACTCTTGAGGAAGCGCTAATAATGGAGAACTACGATTCTAAAACATCGACATTCAAAAACAGCTCAATGACAAGAACCAACCTAGAAGACAACGAATATATCAAACATGACTGTGAAAGTCTACTATTTCCACTATCAAATTAGCTCGAACTCATCAACATTACTACCAATTGGGGGAATGGTTTTGCTAAGCTAAGGAACCGCAACACATTGGGACCATGGGAGGGAGCCAATATGCTGCGGCCTATGTCAAGGTACCTACCTGAGGCCGATGTATTGACTCCCTCCCAGCAGCTCGGCACTTGTCCGTAACTACGAGCAATGCAACTCACTAAACATAGCTTAGTAGTCAAACTTATCGTACAGTACATCAAACAGCATGGTTACTCCCCTGAGGTATGGGTAATGTAAGATATTACTCACTAAACAGTCAATCAGCCCTGAATGATTAGAGAAGTTCATACATTGTCAGCGTTGTCAATTCAGAGTTCACTAGAGGGCTTCGTAATAATCACACTAAACACGTTACACACGTACAAATAAATTATCATTCAAAGCATGTAACATTAGACATATTCTATACAAATAAAATAATTGAATATCTCTGCTGATCAACGTTGCAATTGACAATTTTGTGAAATTTAGATTTTTGAGGATAAATTATGTAAATGACATCCTCTACTGAGTGGATATTTAGTTTTTTAAAAATACATAGGTTGGCAGCACTTACAAGCGATTGAATGCACAGGAAACTGGCAACATGTTGGCATTGGCAACACCAGAATGTTTTCTGCACAATTGTCACTTGCAACATTATTTGGCCGAACTATTCAATTATTTCTTTGCTTGTTTGTAAGGTTATGTGTTTTGTGTTGTTTTTTATGAAGCCCTCAACTGTACTTTAAATTGTGTCAAAACTAAACATGTCCTAAACCTTCACATAATAATCAGAGCTGATCGACAATATGGTGAGTAATATGAAACATTGTAGTTTCAACCCATTGAGGGAAACTTTTATTTTCTTCCGCAAAACAAAGTTATTATTAGTTGGTTATAAGTTTGATTGAAATACTTGTTCCCCATGAACTTAAAAACGGTTCTTTCAGCAAATATGGACATGTACAGAGCTAGATATTACATCAATATTTTGATGTTATGAAGTTTTATGTGTATGTAGGCCTACTTCACAATATCTCCAGGTTATTTCATTTAGTTCAAATACCTTGACCAAAATATTAAGCTCTAGCAGTATAACTAAACTTTAGAGGCAATGTAACATTAACGCGGTGGTCCAATAATATAAATGAGTTGTTTGATAGCTATCTTAGCTAGAAGTTGTTCAGTTGTTTGGATTTTTCCTGAATTTTATTTTAATAATCTCTCATGAAGCTCATTGTTCAATCTAGTCTTTTGTTCATTGTTTATTAATCAGTTATTGACATTTTTTAGGCTATTTTAAAAGGCATAAACATTAGTTGCATTGGGACTACAGACCTAAAACCTCATACAGTACATGTTGGGTTGATATAAATCATGGTATATTTTTATAAAACAAAATGAACAATGGATTTAAGTGAATTCACTAGTGACTCTTTAAACCGGTTTGTTCTTACCCTAACAGTCTACTCTGTAGCTTTTACCTGACAAATTACTGTGAAAAAAATATCCTACCGGTCTAAAACCTTATCCAGAAAATAGCATAATTATTTTAATAACATATTTTTAAGCTGGGTCAATGAACCTGAGATATTGAGGGATTGGAAAAATGATTTAAATAAAGATCTTCCCCAAAAATTGTTCTTTTATTGTATACAAATACAATATCACAAAAATAACAATAATAAAAATTTAAGTATAAAACAAATAAAATAAAACAATCTACTTCTAAGGAATGATGAGTATATTCTATATTGTAGATTTACATTAGTAAATACCTAGTTTATATTAATCTTAAACAAACCAAAAATATAAGTACTGTATGTAACAGATATTGTTTTACCTTGTTTAAAATTACAAGATGACATTGAAAGGAAGTATACCATCTTTAAATGTTGGCAGTTTAAATTTCCTTAGCAAACCACAACATTTAAATTATTGTCGGACCTCCCAACTGATGATTTATAAAGATTTTTTCAATTAGCCAATTCAGTTTGAACATATTTTTAAACTTGAAAAAATATGTTTAGCTATGTTAAGCATCAAAATCCAAATTGGGAACTACTTCTACACAGAAAATTTACCCTAACTCACAAACTAATTAATTTTTTGTCATACTGCAGCAAAAACAGCCGTTTTTAATGCATGTGTTGCGGGTCTAAAGTAGCACTTTTACTCACTAGGGAGTAGGGAGCTGTTGAAAACCGTTGTAAATTTCGATTTTGGTAATCGTATCGATTGAAATTATTTATCGATTAATTTATTACGTAAGGAGGTTAGCCTATTGTTGTCGATTGCTCGACATATTATGGTATAATGTACTGTAACACAATCGTAATAGACGAAATGATTGTATCACTTATTAAACAGCTTCTTATTTGCATTAGCAGAATTGAAAACAAGCTGGAAGTCGTTTTGAGAGGTTATCTTTACATAAAAATTATTTTGTTTTCTAGCTTTGTTTGTTAATTAATGATGCAATATGACAAAAAATATAGTTCACCACACGGGCAAAAAGTGACTTTTTAACCCTTGCTCATTTTCCGACCTCGGCTTCGCCTAGATCGTAAAACTCAACCTCGGGTCAAAAAGAGTCACTTTAAGCCCTAGTTATGAAATATACTATTCTATGATGAAAATCACATTAAATTCTCTTCAGTAAATAAAATTAGATTTAAAAACTGGCAAACCAAATAAATTAACTAAGAGTAAAATATAAGCACCATAACAAATTTTAATTAAACCATCCAATCACACTAATTCATTATATTTCAAAATGTTATCAAAATACTAATTCAACATAAGTATGTTTAAACACAGCAACTTTTTTTAAAATACAGTTTTAAAACATTGACGTTAAGTTCTTCTGACTTTTTAATAATAATTGACAGCTTGGTATCTTTCACAGATACTGTTTACAGTTGTTTTCTTTACACAATGTTCAATATATTTTTGTAATTACAGCTAATAGTCAAAAGAAATGCTACAACAGTTACGTTATGGAAATGAAAATATAAATTACAGAGCACACAATCCAAGAAATGTTTTTAAATTATAACAATTTTTGCATATTTAAATTTAATGCACATTGTGAAATACATATTTGTTTTACATTTTATGTACTGTACCTAGTATGCTTCTGGCAAACTAAGCAATTCAAAATACACTGAGAAATTTTCATGGTGAAATTTAACAAGTAGAATGTTTTTATGAAAAGGATAATAGATATGCTAAAGGTTCAAAATCTGCTATGGAGACACCAACTATTTATAAAATGGAAAACATCTAAAGGAAGATCCCTAAGTCACAAGATATATGCGTTAAATTTCCAAAAATTGTAATTAAGTTTACTGTAAAGATCTGTGACCAGCACTTCTAATCCCAACATAACAATTTTGATATTCCTTAACCCATATTGTTACAAAAACTTTAAATTGTATTGATTTATTTTTCCGATTCAACACCGCATTAATTTACTACAATACAAGTATGTGTTAGAAAATACAATTGGTACATTTCACAACATACCATGAAAAGTTGAATTGGGAATTTTTTTGTTAAAAAAAATTTACCATACAAATTCAGACTAGCTACGACATTGACTATAAGTATTTGAATGTGTAAACAGATTGTTCGTTAGGCTCTGTTGTTCGTCTTGAATCAAGAGTACGAAAATGGATTTAAATGCAAGGTACACTGTCACAACATTAAAATGTTTTTATTTCCTTGTAACTCGTATTAAACTTTGCAGCTAATTTTTCATCTTACACATTTCATTTTAAGAGTTTTTAAAAGTAAAAGGTGATACAAACATAAAGTAGGTAGTTTAAAAAAGTGAGTCCCTGTCAGCAACTTACACTTATCTGAACTAATAGCCTATCCTTCTCGATTGTTTGACAATAAAATTTTAATCATACCCTGGAAGATTAAGTCTTTTTGCTCAAAATAAAAGTGAAATTAGAAAAGTTACACGATTTTAATAACCTATATGAAACAACTAAAGTTGACATCAGCACCTTCTTAGCAATCAGCGATGGGAAATGTAAAGAATCAATTGTGAACGACCCATTCAGATGATGATTTTTAGGTTATATAACACTATTATTACTAAAGTGCAATTTCAAACACAGGATTGTGAATTCAACGGTTACAAGAA